GCCTTTCTACAAAATACCTGAGCAGTTCTCTTCAAAGGTGTCAAAGGTTGAAAAACCAAGAAGGAATCAGAAATGGTCACAGATCAAAAGAGGAGTGGACGTGAGGACTTCATGCAACGTTGTGTCCTGTGCTTGTCAGCATCACTGTGCCCCTGTGTGTGAGGGTTTTGTGCACGTGTGTGTCTAAATGTGTGTAAGAGTTGGGCATGTGGGAGTGCACGAGTGTGCATTTAATTTGCGTGTGAATGTGTGTGTATGAGCACGTATGATTTGAGTGTGTGCATGTGTGTGGTTTGTGTGGGCGTGTACACGTGCAAGTGTGTGGATGTATGTGCATGAGTGTGTATATGATTTACGTATGCAAGTGCACTAGGAGATTTCCAATCATAGCATATATGGCAGCCAGACTTTTTAGGATAATATAGAACCAAAATCCTTAATAATTCCTATAATCCACCAATTTTAGTTTATGAATACTAAATCTTCCTCACCCTAATGACCAATTTAGCAGATTAAAAAGTGCCTTAGTCGTGTTTTACTACAGAATTGTGTGCCACGGGCGTGGATTTTTTATCAGAATGCCACCAGCTGCAATGACAAATTCCCAGCCCACACTGGGCACATGTGGGCCACCTCTGTGCTAGCGAGGAGACCCTGAGGGGCCTTGAGGATGCTGCCCCTGTTCTCTCCTGCTAAGCATCACCTCAGAACCATAACCCCTTCACTACCCAAAGTGACTTAGGGCCACAACCCTTCCCGCCACACCCTTGGGAAGAGATGCATTTTGGGATTCAGGATGTTTTTTGAGTTTGGAGGAGGGAGGAGAGGCTGGCTCTTGGGGCCCAGAGTCCTTCCCAATGTGTGGACACTGGAGGGTCAGTTCTTTATCCCCACACACCCCAGGCCTCCTTTAGCACATACTCTGAAAACCATGTCTCATGGCCCCACAGGCACCCCTCTCTTCTCCGGAGTGCATCTGAGGCCCTGCAGAGGCCCAGATCTTAGTTTCTAAACAGTACCTTCAGTGAAAGGAACCAGGTTCCTTAGAGAAACGCCTGATATTAGGGCTGCACCTGTGCAGCTGGCATGCCCCACCCCCCCGCCGCCCCGCCCTGCATCTCAGCACTAGTCATGCCCCTGCCCCACCCACCCCTGCCCGGCAGCACCCGATGGTGGCAACAGGGGAACAGCTTCCCACATAGGGCCCCCTGCCCCAGGGTGCAGGGAGCAACCCAGCAGTGACGTGGAGACACTCAAGCCCCCACGTGACAATAGCAACCCATCATCTGAGAGTTGAAGGGTGATTTTTTTTTTTTTTTTTTTTTACCGGTTTTGTTTTAACCAAGCCTCCTCCATGAGGTACTCTGGAGAGCACCAAGGCGTCTGGGTGGTGTCTGCCCTCCCAGGGCTCTCACCTGGTGGGCCTCAGCAGCAACAAGCCCAGCTGAGACATAGGGGGATCTGCAGAACAGCTCTGGCTGACATGAGTTCAGTGCTGTTGGGCTCCGAACCTCCACTTGTTTCCATATAAGAAAACTGAGGGGAAGGTCAGCCGGTGTGTGTTCCAGACTTGCCTGACTCCAAGGCCCAGGCAAGGAAATATGCTTTGAGTGTGGGTTGAGCAGTGTCAGAGATGCGGAGGATGCCAGGACGCCGGGCTGCAAAGGTGGATGGGATGGCCCCTCCCACCTGCCACCGGCAGGTAAATCGGCCCAGCTGTTCTGGAGAGCAAGTTGGCAACGCCCTGAAAGGGAGTCGGAAATGCCCACCCTTCAGTGGAGCCTCCCCATATCTGGGACTTCATCTGAAGGATATTCCAACGTGTATGGAAAGATTTGGGCGGAAGTATTTCCTTTAGTGTTATTTACAACAGAGGAAAAGTTGGGCACAATAGCTTTTGCTCATGTAAAGTGAAAGAAGTAAATAAGTCATGGCAGTCCCAGCACTGTGTCCTGCTCCAGGGCAATCTAGCACCCCACACAGAGACTCAGGAACGTGGATGCAGCCAGAGCTGTCCATCGGAACCTGGGCTTCGTGCTCTGTAACAGATCAGGTGAGATGACCTCAGTGAAGAGACCATCACTGGGCACAGGGTGGGTGCCAGTGAGAGAGCTGGCATCATTGACTCTCACTCTGGAGGCTCGTGGGAGGGCTGCACACACACGCACATGACACTGCTCTTCCCCAAACGCACAGAGCGATACAGAGGGGCACCCCCTTCAGTAAACAGAGAGCAGCCACCTCCGGGAGCGAGTGGTGAGCAGTTCTGTCACTTGAGCAAGCACAGGTGTGCACCTGCAAGTACTGTACGTGCAGATGTGTGTGTGCACCTGTGAGAGTGTTGCATGCATGCGTACGTGTGCTTGTGTGTGCGTGGGCCTTCTTCCCTCGTGTACAATGTCTTTCTGACCAGGGTCATGGTCACAAGGTTTAGAAGCCACGGCTCTGTGCCCCCTGCCTCCCTCAGGCTTACTAGTTCCTGGTTCTTCTCAGCTCTTATTCCACCCCAAGGAGCAGTGCTGACACCAGCAGGGAGTCGTGCCGAGTGAAGTTTCTCCAGCCAGGGTCTCCGGAGCTCCCTGTTCCTGTAGCAGCTGAGCCTGGCCTTGCTTCAGACGGGGCTAAGGACAAACACATATCCACATCTTTAGATTTTCCCTCTAAAACAGTTTCATGGTAAGACACCACCTCAGAGAACAACAGGTGCCAATGGGAAGCGTTTGGAGGGAAGTGTCCTTCCACATGGCTCCACCTGGTTCCTGGGCACCACCCCACTGCTTCCTGGGGGTCACTGTACCATGTCATCTATAGGGCATGGGGGGCTGAGGTCCAGGTGAGCACAGGGTGCCGTTGACAACAGGCCTCGTCCCCTGGTCCTTTCGAGGGCTCCTTGGTGTTTGGCCTCTTCTATGGGCTCTTATACCACATGCCACCCAAATAACCTTCCAAATTCTGGAAAGACACTGACTATCCTATTTTCAAACAATCTACATTACTGAATGCTTTGCACGTGACCTACTTTTGAGTGTAGTAATGGCACAATCCAACGCAGAATTGTTTGGAATTGTTATCTTGATGGAAAAACAGATGTTGTGCCATTTTCTTAACAGGCCAACTCACCACCACTTTGTCGACCTCAACCTTTCATTGGGATTTGTGCCCCGAGTCATAGGAGTCAGGGGATGATCGAAACGCACCTTCCGCTCGGCCGCCAGCTGTGTCTCTGCGTCTCCGGCTCCAGTGGAGTATGGCAGACACTGCTGCTCTCTGGCCCTCTTCCCTTGTGTTGGGCGATCAGCCGGCCAGGCGTTGACTCACTAGAGCCGCAGCCTTGTTACCTGCCGGGCCCTGTGGGGAGTAGCATGTTGAGCGTGTGTTGGTGGCTGTGTGCATCTTTTTTTCCCTTTCGTCTTCTCTCCTTAAGCTGCTGTTTCTGTATCTCTGGGTTAAGTCGCACACAGAGTGGATTGATGGGCTTGTGTGGGTGTGTCTGCACATCGGAGAGCTTCCGACAGAGATGGGGAGAGCAGGAGAGGGCGGCCCTGTCTTCCTGCCCAAATGTTAACTGGATTCTGTTTTGCTTCTGTTCTTGGGAGGGCTTTTGCCTTTAGCCCACCTCACCACTTACCTGGGAGCCTGCAAATGATCCACGGGAGCATCTCTGTGGCCTCAGGTACCCTTTTCTGTTTGTGGCCCGCTGAGCTGTGGAATGTGGGAGGAGAGACCTGCTGCCCTGACCTGTGCCAGACCTGAGGTTGGTGTGGAAGCCCCCTGGCCCCCCACGTGCATCTTTTCCACCCCCTTCCTCCAGGTGGTTTTCCTTTGAACCCTCCCCCTGAACAGTTAAACCACACTCTGAACAGAAAACTGTTTTGAAAGCTGCTTTGCACCTGCGTCTGACAAAGACCTTCTTGAGGGTCACCCCCCACCCCCCCACCGCCGCTTCCGAGCGGGTGAGGGATGTTCGGCCGCTGGCTGTGCCACCCAACTGCAGCCTGTGGGCCCCTGGGAGGCACAGATATTCTGTTCATTATTTATCGAGCAAATGTTCCTATAGGGCACCCTAGGAGAGTGTTGACTCAAAAGTGCGAGTCCGTCCTTTCTTCAGGACATTTAGAGACTATTCTGCTGTCTTTTCATCACTAAGTATCTCAGGGCTGTGCACCACTCAGCAACTTACTTATGAAACTTGTGTTTGTAAAAAGCACTTTTACTGGCACTTACTGTGGGCTCCTGTTAGACGTCCTCCTGGGCTTCTAACTGGGGCATGTGCCTGGCCTGGCATTTGCTGGGACCCGCACACTTTCCCGTCTCAGGGAGGAGCTTCCTCACCTCAGGGCTGTCAACTGCGATTCCTGCTTTGTAAGTAGAATCAGTGTGGCCTCATCATCCTCAACTGCGGGGTTTTCTTACTAACCTGCAATGTGAAGAATATGTCTTTCTACCATCTATTAGGCCTGGGTTTGTTGACAACTAGACTTTCGGTTTGAGTGTGTTACAGGTCCAACAGGTACCCAGACCCTTATTCTAAAAGTAGATGCATATACAAGCCACCACATGTTTGCTTACACAGTGATCCCTAACGATTAGCTTGCGTTCTCTTCTCGTGAGAGCAGGTTAGCTGGGTGGGCCAGGGTTTCGAATATCCTTGCGTTCCCCCAGATAATTCCCCAATAAGCTGCTGAGGTTGGAGGCTTGTGGAATTCCCAAGACTGAACACTGCCTGTGCTAACAGGCCTCAAGAGGAGAGCAGCCTTAGCACAACTCAGTGTCCGCGAGTTCCATGTTTCTGCACCAGAGGTGGGAGGTCTGACACTCCACTTACTTTTTCCTGACTTTACCACAGGACTTGTACTGAGAGATGATATTTATATATTTGCCTAAAGTTCAAAAAACACACCTGGCATCTAAGGATTTTGCCTGCTGCTGCGGAAGTCCCTAGGTGTGCCCCCTTGTCTGTGGGCGTTGCCGTTTGTTTCAACGTCCGTGCATGTGTCTGTGGCCCTCTCCAGGCCAGATGCGCAGCTGGAGTGGAAGTCACTGAGAGCGGCTAGCAGACAGCAGCGAGTGCTCAGGGGCCTGTGTGCTCTCGGGCACTGCCGGCCACTCGTGGCATTCTCCCTCACAGCCCTTGGTAAGGAAATTTCTCAGCAGACACTGTCTGGAAAGTGCAAGAGTGACTTCACTTAAGATCATGGCAAGAGTGGGGAGAGATTGAATTCAAGCTGTTAGGTGAGGCTGTGAATGGAGAAATAGGGGGAGGGGCTGGGTTAGGGTCACGGTGGAGGAATCCTTGCCAACCCGGCTCAGCAGACCACGGGTGAGGCCTAGGCAAGGAGAGAGGGTGAGGGGGCTTGACCAGAGTTTGGTCCAGGAGTGTGTCCTTGTCACCCTCACAGTGGCCTGTTTTATAGTTAGTTAAGTGAAGGTAATGAATTAAATAGGTAAGTAATGTTGTCCAAAACAGACCTCTGTGCTTTTGAGCCAAAATATAACATGAAAACAGAGTTTGGGATAAAAAGGGACAGTAGCTTTATTGCTTTGTCAGATGAAGGAGGTTACAGCTATGATCTTCAAGCCCCCGGGTTCCTGAAACAAAAGGCCAAGGAAGGAGGAGGGAGGTATGAGGAAGGCAGTGATGAAGGTTTGGGGTGATGGTGGGGTGGTCCGGAGCCGACGGCCAAGAAAGAATTCTTGAGATGTCTTTGGTGCAAAAAGGTGGGTTTATTAAAGCATGGGGACAGGACCCATAGGCAGGAGGAGCTGCACTGGGGTTGTGATGGGTAATTCATATACCCTCAGGTTGGGAGGGGGTCAGGGACAGAGTAAGTCTCGGAGGTATTTTGGGAACAATGTTCAGGACCTTGAGGACCCAGCTGTTGCTAGGGGGATGCCACTTATTACTGTCTAATAAAACCTCAGTCACGAGGCCCTTCAGATGTGTATCGGGGGCCATAAGCTTGGAGTATGATTGCCAACAGATACTTGGAGCAGCTGAGATAAAGGAAGTAGACTTACAGGGTCCTCAAGGTTGGGATTATGTTAAGATAAGGTTCTCTTTTGCCTCTAGCAAAGTGTCATCATCCTAGAGGGAGGTTTCAAGGACTTGTCAATGGGCTTTAGGCAGTAAGAGAATTTAATTTTTCATTTGCCTTAGTTTCCCACATAACCATAGCAAGCACTTAAACTCCTTTCCTATGTTCTTTGGTAGCCAGGAGTGTCCAAGAAATATCGCACATACTCCACTCGGGTTAGGGGGTGTGCCAGCCTGTATTTTGCCCACAGCTTGCAACACGGTCCCTCGTCAGGGAGGAAGAAGCTTACTTTAAAATTGAGGTTCGCTGAAACATTAGTGCCGCCATTCTGGTTTTTGTTCAACTTTATGCTTTTAAGAGGTTTCACTAAGACAGATCAAGGAACCTGCCACAGAGGATATGCCGTGGCCCATGGACCTCAAACCTCCAGTGTGTGTGGCTTGATGCCTCTGTCTCTCTGACCTCCTCCACCCCAGTCCCTGTCTCCCCCTCTCTGGCCTAGGCTACTTTGGGGCAGTGTGAGCTGTTGTCTCCCCTGCCCACCGTGGTGTTCTTATCTGCCCCCTTGCTGCTTCACAGAGCTCCTGCCCGTGTCCCTTTCTGCCCAGAACAGATCTATCGGTTAGGCTATTTGGCCTTGTAGAACACACTCACGCCCCATGTGCCTGTTTGTAAGGGACATGAGTGCCATGCCTTATATCTTCTTCTTTCTTAGTGGAAAAATCCAAATAACAAATTAATTTGCCCTCCATGGATTGTGTCCTGCTGGAGTCTTTCCACAGGAAAGGGTTCCTGGAGGAGGCTGAGGGCTGCCAGGCCATCTCTGCTGCTGACAGAGGCTCTCGGATCACATCACGTGAGGGATGGTTTCCTGGATGCCAAGCCTGAAACTTACCCCCTCCTCAGAGGAAAGCCCCCCCAGAGTGATGGCCTGTGAAACCCCTCCTCAGGGCCCAGGGGCAAAGCTGGAGCTGTGGCTCCAAGACCAAGCCAGTGTTTCCTGCTTGTCCTGTTCGGGTGGCCCAGGAGGCAGCCAGAAACTCAATATGCCAGAGCACAGCTTGGCTGTACCATTCTCAGAGGCCCCCTGGGAGTGGGGCGGGGTAGGGGGGCAGATACACAGCAGTGGGGACCAGACAAGAAGAGGGAGGGCCACCCACAGCTCTGTGTCCTGAGCAGGACAGCCCAGCACTGAGCTCCCAATGCTTCCTCACAGGGTGCCAGGAGAACCTCTCCTGGCTCCTCCTCAGCCTCCTGTGCTGGAGGTACCTACTCCCCCACCTTCCAATGTTGGGGTGTCCCTGGGCTCACCACCTTGGGTAGTCTCCCCCACTCCCAGCTCCTCTCCCAGGACATTCAAAATAGAGCCCTCCAGCCACCCTGAATCTCTGTTTCCAGATGCGTAGGGCAAAATTTCAGCATCGTCTCTTTCTCATGAGCCCACATCCACCCTTGACTTCCTGGTGGCCCCATGTTTACAGCATATTCCAAATCCACCATGACTCAGTCACAGAGCACCACCACCTGTCCTCTGCTGGTTGAAGCCACTTCACCAGGATTCGGATTATGTAGCCTCTGCTAAAACTGTGTCTTGTTCCAGGCTCAGAGCACCTCACTGAAGCCAAGAGTTGGGGGTCCAAAGCCTTCCCAGACAAAGCTTCTAGGAGGAGAAACAGGACAGCACAAACCAAACACACCACAGCAACAGCCAAATGGAACTGAATTAATTTGCTATAACACAGAGGAGATATACAGCTTTGCTTATCTGCTGCCACCCAGTGCCCCATGGGGAGTCTGACCAGAAACCGCATCAGTTTCCTTCAGCCTCAGCTCAACATTTTTGGGGTCAAGTAACCCTTTGAGAATCTGCTTATATGTGGCCCAAGTTTTTGAAAACACCCATGGGTACTCCAAGGCAAAGAATCTCCCCCCCTTTCAGAAGATCCAAGAATCTAAATTTTAGATTGGGAGGGTGTCTTCACTCCAAGCCTTGATTTCCTGAGGCTCAGGGATGAGTGCAAACACCTCCCAATTGCAACTGGGATGTGGCCAGAAGGTTATAAAGCTGCCTGGGTGGGACCACAACAGAACTCCAAGCACAAATTCCTCATCCTATAAAACATACTAGATGTAGCGGGGACATTTCGCATCCATAGGAGAAGGGGCAGAAGGCTCGATAAACAGCACTGGGATAGATGTTTGCTACTTCAGCTTCTGCTCCTTAACAAACCACCACAAAGCTTACCGGTTTAGCACAATCATTCATGTGCTCATGATTCTGTGGGTGAACAATTTGGCTTGCTCAATAGGACAGTGATTTTACTGGTTTCACCTGTGCATCTGGTAGTTGGCTGCATGATAGAGGCAGCGTGACCACTTTCCCCCAGCATGCAGCAGGGTTATCCAAGTTTGGCAAGCATGCAGCAGTTTGGTTCTGGCTTCGTCAAATGGCAGCTGGTCTCCAAAGGCAGCCAGAGAGATCAAGTTCTAATACACAAACACTCTGTAGCCTCAGTCCATCACATTTGTAATATCTCATTGGCCAAAGCAAGTCACATGGCCAAGCCTAGATTCAGGGGTGGAAATATGAACCCCATCTCTTCAAGAGAGAGGAGGCAAAAGGTACATGAGAGGTTTGGGAGCAATTTGTGGGCACATGTTTTTTTTACAACCTACCACATTTAGCCTTTGATAAAGGAAGTAACTTAAAAGTTGCCTCAATTAGGGCATTCACCAAAATGTACTTCCAATTGGAGTAAAGTTTAAATGTAAAAAATAAAACTGTGGCTGTATTGGTGGATACTTCTATGCCATTGGAGGAGAAAAGGCTCTTATGGCACAAATTTAAAGTCAGAAACCATAAAGAAAAAGTTATTTTTGACATGCATTTGTAACAATTAAAATTATTCATTAAAAATCACGAACAAAAAAGATAAAATGTAAATTACAAAATTATTTGCAGTGTATGTTCCAGAATTACACATCTAAACCCCTTGTGAGGGTTTGTGCCCCAAAGAGATGGCAGACGACATGGTCCAAACTTGATGAAGGACCGAGAAAACAAGTCACTGGCACCCCAAATGTTTCTTAAATGAATGAACATGCAACAACACATGAAAATATCTTCAAAAAACTTGTAATTAAAGGAAGACAAATTATAACAAAAAGACTTCATTTTCACTTACTGAATTGGCAGAGTTTTGCTCTTGTTACTACTTGTGAATGGTGATGCCCAGTATTGTCGGGACTCCAAAACAGGTTCCTCTGGGGACAGAGGACTCCTTAATCCAACCCACACATTCACTCCTTCAATTAATGTTTGTTGAGCACCTACTATGTGCCAAACACAGCCTAGACTCTGGAGCCCCCACTGAAAAGAAGGCATTTGTGCAAAGGCCTGAAAGAGTGGAGCCAGCCAGGTGGCTATCTGTGGAGAGCGGCTCCCAGGCAGAGGGAACAGCCAGAGCCTGAGGGGGTCACCAGGGGAAGCTAAGCAGGTTAGGAGGAGGCCGGAGGAGATGGGGTGGTGAGGCCTCTGCAGTACTGGAGTACTTGTGGTTGGTGTCTGGAGTAGGGTGGGAGGAGTCCTGTAGGACTGAGCCCTTAACCTGTAGGAAGTGACACTACTTCTAGGGAGATTGTGTCAGAATTAAGTTGTGGGACACGCAGCTGTTACTATGGAGAATTGCTTGGTGGAAATTGTGTGGGAGAAACTCTGCCCCCTCCCCCCCACACTGTAATTGGGTCTAGAACCAATTCACCAGGAAAGTAGCGTATGGGACAGTCTCCCCTGGGAGCCCTCTTTCCTGGGTTTGTGACTCTGCATGCTTACACTTCCCTCCCCAGGGCATCTGTGCCCCTGCTACAGCATACACCAAACTTTAACTGAAATTTGGGAGAATGGCAAGAAGTGTGTCCCCACCATGCAATTCAAGGTTCCTAGGACTGCTTTCTGGACCTGGAGGCTCCTGGTCCTTGCACCTGCTGACCTGTCACTGCCACAGTGCCCACAGGGCAACTGTGTGCCCTCATGGTTGCAAGGTAATTGTTGTTCTGTCTGTTGTAGATGAGAAGGTCAAGGTTCAGAGAAGGTTTCTGAGGAGAGAAGTGCAGAACCGACATTCAAATAGGATTTGGTCTCACTTCAAAATCTAAAGCCTTTTCTGAACCCTATCTGTCCTGTGCTGGGAAGAACCAGGGGCAGTGAATGGTAGTACAGAATATATTTCCATGGGGAGGGTGGAGGGTTGGTTCCCCATGCTGTGCCTCCTGGGTTGGAGGCCACCCATAGGTCAGAGGTTACAGAGGAAGGGCCCCATTGTGAGTGCACAATCAGCCTCAGCCTTGTGCCCCTGCCTGGGGAGCTGTGCTGAGGGAGCTCCTGACAGGAGCTGTCCCTGGAGAGGTGGGGTGAAGGCAATGACATCTATGTGGCTATTTGGAGGGAGGGGTGAGAACTGATGACCATGTCTGCTGGCAATCTTACCTGTTTTGGAGCTATGGGGACTCAAATTATGTGATTTTATGGGGCTGTTGAAGGAAAAAAATGGCCACAGAGGCCAAGAGGGCTTGGAGGGCCAATTAAACCAACCCCTCTCTTCATCAGTTTTTGCTTCTCCACTATCAGAGAGGGGAGGTATATGCCACACTGAGCATGGCTTGTGGTACACGAGAAAGGAACACTCCCACTGACAGTGCAGCTGACACCATCCAGGGTCTCCCCCAACCCTGTAGCAAAGCAGACAGTGACCTCTGTGTCATGCCCCTGCACACAGCCAGAATGTGTCTCTGCTCCCCCCATCCTTGGCCCCTTGTCCTCCTCTTAGCCTTAAAGTGAGCTCATCTCCAAAGGTCCAGGTGGTTTTTATATTTGACATAAGGTTTCGTAAGGAGATGATAAAATGGGATAAATTGCATTGCATTCCCTTCTGAAAACTAGCTTTGAAGCAACTTGTTTCTCCTCAAGTTGCTCCTCCAACCCCTAGTTACCTCATTAAAACTATAGTAGGTTTTTTTGGAGGTAGAAATCAGCAAACTAATTCTAACATGCAATATGGAAAGGCAAAGGGCTATGAAAGGCCAAGATATGTTTTAAAAGAAAAATGGGAGAAATTACCCCATCAGATATCAAGACTTACAGTAAAGCCTGATTAGCATAGTATGTTATTGGTTCATGGAGAAATAAAGAGACCAGGGGTCAGTAAACATTGGCCTGCCCATGGGCCGAGTCTGGCCTACTCTATGCTTTTGCGTGGCCCACAAACTAAGAATGGTTTTTACATTTTTAAATGGTTGAACATAATAAAAAGAAGAGTATTTCACGACACAAGAAAATTATATGACATTCAAATGTCAGTGGCCATAAGTAAAGTCTTACTGGTTGTAACACAGCCATGTCCATTTGTTTATGTACTTTCTATGGCTGCTTTCATGCTACGACCGCAGAGTGGAATAGTTGTGATAGAGATCGTGTGGTCTGCAAAGTCTGAAGTAGTTCACACCTGGCCCTTTAAAAAAGTTTGCTGACTCCTGAAAGAGACCAATGTAACAGATGGAAATCACCTGCTTATGACAAAGATGGCATTGCACAGTCACGGTGGAAAGATTAATATTTTAACACACGGTCCTGGGTAAATTGTATTTCCGCAAAGAAACCTGATTTTTGCCTCACAACACATGCAAAAAAAATTTTTTTTAGCGGGATTTAAAATCTAAATGTAGAGGGTAAAATAAGGAAGATTCTAGTAAATCTTCCTTAGAAGTGATGTAGTAAAATCTTCATCACCTTGGGTCAGAAAAATATTTCTTATATAGGGCACAGAAATCACCCCCCTAAAGTAAAATACTAATCAGTTAGATTCCATTAAAATTGAGAACCCTAACCCACCGAAACACACCATTAAGACAGTGAGAAGTCAAGTCATATCATGGGAAAAAATATTTGCAAGGCAAGTGATAATCAAAGGACTCATATCCAGAACATATAAAGAACTCCTGTAAATCAAGTAGGAAATCCTAATGGTCAATAAATATATGAAAAAGCTTTATTTGTTATCAGGGAAATGAACATAAAGACCCGAGTGAGATAGCATTACACACCTCTCAGAATGACTAATACTGGAAAGAGTGAGATGCCCAAGTGTTAGTGAGAAGGCACATCCTATCAGCTAGCAATTCCACTCCCAGATATATGCCCGGTGAAAATGCTTGCATATTTTTGCCCAAAAGTATGTTCAAGAATGTTCAAGGCATGACCACTTGGAATAGTCAAAAATCTATCATCCAAACGTCCACCAACATAAAATGCTTAAAAATATTGTGGTATATTTTTACAATAGAACATGACTTTACCACACAAACGCCCAATTACTGATATATGTGACAACTCAGATGAGACCTAACAATTGTGTTGAATGAAAGAAGTCAAATGCAAAACAAAACAAAACAAAACAAAAAACCCAAGACATATTGTGATGTCATCTCTACAAAGTTCAAAAGCAGACAAAATGAATCCATAGAGTTGGAAGGCAGATGGTGTTTACTTTTGATTGAGGTGGTAATTAGGAAGGGGTCTTTTGGAGTGATGGTAATGTTCTTCGTTTTTTTTTTTTTTTTTTGGATCCAGGTGGTAGTTAATATAGGTGTGTTCATTTTGACATAGTTCACCAAGCTGTACATTTAAGATACATGCACAGCCGACCTCTAGGTGGTTTTTTGCAGGGTCTGCTGAGAAATAGCACATGTGATGTTCACTCACAATAATTCCTTAATGTTATCTAATGTGCCTGATTGTCTCAAACTGTCTTTTTACCAAGGGACCAGAGTGCCCTAGTGTGTGTAAGTTTCCTATACTGTCTTTCCACCATGAGGCCGCTGTCTGAGCACAGTGTGGTTAGAACAGTAGTCGGAACTCACGCCCCGCGCTTACTCAGCGACCCCAGACCGCTTGGGAGGGAGTTCTGGGCTGTTGGTGGTTACCATGGAGATTCCCCGTGAGCGTCTCTGATTGGCTGAGACACCTCGGGCCCCGCCTCCTCCGCTCAGCTCCGTGGGCGGGTTCCAGAGGGGCCGAGATTTCCCGCGGACGCGGTCCCAGGCCTTCTGGGAGTGGTAGTTCGCCGTCGCGCCGTTTTGGATGCAGCTGCCGAGCCGCCGGGGAGTTGCGGGCTGATCGCCGCTGTCCCGGGAGGTCTGGCTGGAACGTGGTTTCTCGTGGGGTCAGTACGGCATGGGGGACGCGGCGCAGAGAGCCGGGTCCTTCTCTCGTATCTTCGCTCCGGCCAGGAGCCGCGGGCTCTCCGAGCTGTGGCCTGACGGGGAACCGGACCCCCGGATTCCGGAGGCCCAGAGGCCCAGAGCGCCCCCAGCGCAGAGGAAGAGGAGAGGTGGAAGGGGAAAGGAATTTCCAGGAGAGAATTGCTTCAAGGGAAATCTGAATGGAGCCTGAGTTTCTTACTGTTTGTGACAGCAGCTTTGGTGCAACGGGCCGAACTTCAATCTTGGGCCTGCACCCCGGACCCCGGATTGTGAGTCCGCTAAGATGTTTGCTTGGAGACCCCACATTTAACCTGAAATAGTTGTTTCTTTGGAGGACTTGTGGAGTACTTACCTTTATCCTTACACTCAACCTACCTTTAACCTTACAGCTTTACGAGGTTTTCTTAACATTTGCTGAAAATTATTTGAGTAGGTAAATCGTTGTCTAATTAAGGAAGCAAAGTATGGGCTTCCACAATTTAAGTGAGCATTCATTTGGGATTCCCAGAGATTCCTTCTATTTGTTCAAAAGGAAAGAGGAACAGTTCTGTATTGCCTTACCTCAGCATTTCTCTTGTACCAGAACGCCTCCCTGTCGTTAGTATTTCTACCCAAACGTTGACCCTGATCTGAGGTCACCTTTATAATACAGACCTGCCTTTCCCAGCCACGCTGAAAACACCTCCG